AATTGCTATCTATGATCTTGATTTTGATGCTATTCTTTCTGCCAAATATGCTGTGTCTATTAGTGATGAGGGTGACTGTTACCGGTGTTTCCCGCCCGATCCGGGCATTGGGACTGCTGCTCTAGGTACTGGTGAGGCTGCTGCCCTAGGTGCCTGTGACGTTGCTGCTCTAGGTGCTAGTGCGTCTGAGTCCTCAAGTACTGGTGAGTCTGCGCTCTCAGGTACTGCGTCGGCTTCGGCCTCCCTCACCTTCACCCTTGACTTTGGAGCTTCTCGCTCCTTCTTTCGGGACCGCACCACACTCACGCCGCTTCGTCGGCCGGTTGCGGTGTCTCTGGCTGACCCCTCTGGGGGTCCATTCCTGTCTCACTTCTCCACATTCCTTCCGTGTCCGGCGGCTCCCTCTGGCACCCTGTCTGGTCTCTACCTCCCCTCGTTCTCTACGAACCTGGTGAGTGGTGCTGACCTACAGGATGGGGGAGTACACCAGTTCACTCTTGCGCGTCAGCGGGTGACGCACTGCACATAGGCTAGCACAAGCCGACACCTGGCTACGTTTACCCGTCAGCCAGGGTCGAGCCTGTACACTCTGACCACTGCGTCTCCTCCAGTAGCTGCGTCTGGTAGGGTAGCTGCGTTCGGTCAGGTGATTGCTGCAGCGTCCAAGTCTGGTCCTGAGTCTGCCCCCTGTTCGTGTCGTCTCCTGTCTCACGAGACTCTCCACTGGCACCACCGTCTTGGTCACCCCTCTCTGCTTCAGCTCAGAGGCATGGCCTCCTGTCTTCTTGTTTCTGGTCTCCCCCGGTCCCTTCCTCCCCTTCCTCAGGGCCCTGGCCCTACCTGTGTCCCCTGTGTCGAGGGGCGCCTTCGGGCTGCCCCTCACTCCTCCCAGTTTCCTCCGACAGAGGCTCCGTTGCAGATGCTTCACATGGACGTGTGGGGCCCTGCCCGCGTCCGTGGACTCGGTCACGAGCGCTACTTCCTGTTGGTGGTTGACGACTACTCGCGTTACACCACAGTCTTCCCCTTGCGCAGCAAGGGTGATGTCATTAAGGTGCTGATCGACTGGATCCGCGCAGCTCGTCTCCAGCTCAGGCAGAGCTTTGGCTCGGACTTTCCTGTTCTGCGTCTACACTCGGACAGAGGCGGAGAGTTTTCCTCTGGCCTTCTGCGAGCCTATTGTCACGCACGAGGCATTCGTCAGACCTTCACGCTTCCGGACTCCCCGCAGCAAAATGGGATTGCTGAGCGCCGCATTGGCATGGTCATGGACGACGCTCGTACGTCTATGATGCATGCGGCTGCTCCCCATTTTCTGTGGCCGTTTGCGGTGAGGTACGCGGCGCATCAGATCAACCTACACCCCAGGGTCTCCAAGCCGGAGACTTCCCCAGCCTTGCTGTGGACGGGGAAGGTTGGCGATGCGTCGGCGTTCCGAGTCTGGGGATCTCGGGCGTTTGTCCGCGACTTGTCTGCGGACAAGATATCCCCTCGTGCTCCTCCTTGCGTCTTCGTGGGGTTCCCCCCTGACGCGCCTGGGTGGCAGTTTGACCACCCCACCTCTCGCCGTGTTCTGTCCTCCCAGGACGTCACGTTTGACGAGTCGGTCCCCTACTACCGCCTCTTCCCCTACCGCACTCTGTCCCTCCCCCCCCCCCGCTCTTCCTTTTACCAGGTCCCCCCCCGGTAGACCCCCTCCCCCCTCAGGGTCCTGCCCCTTCAGGTGTGTCCCAGGTAGACGCAGTCGAGCCTGTCGAGGTTACTGGTGACTCTGGTGCTGCTAGGGGTGCTGAGCCTAGGGGTGCTGAGACTGGGGTTGCTACGCCTGGGGGTGCTGAGACTGGGGGTGATGGGCCTGGGGGTACTGCGACTGGGGGTGCTGAGCCTGGGGGTGCTGAGCCTGGGGGTGCTAAGCCTGGGGGTGCTGTGCCTGGGGGTGCGACGCCTGGGGGTGCTGTGCCTGGGAGTGATCTAGTTGGGGGTGCTGAGCCTGGGGGTGCTGAGCTTGGAGGTGCTACGCCTGGAGGTTCTCCGGTTGCTTCGCCTCTGCGGGAGCCACTCTCTCTACAGGAGCTGCGCGAGTGGTTTGCCCGGCGCACGAGCCGTGCTGCTAGTGCTGGAGGTTCTTCGGCTACTGAGGGTGCTGCTGTCGCTGGTCTCGGAGGTGCTCGTACTGGGAGTACTGGAGCTGCTGGGCCTGAGGGTTCGACTGGAGCTGGTGCTGCTGAGGGTGTTGGTGCTGAGACTACCGCTGGCGGTCCTACTGGGGGTACTTCTGGTGCTACTGGATGTTCTGGAGCTACTAGAGGTGCTGCTGGAGCAGGTGCTCCTGCTGGGGGTACTGGTGCTGTCCCTGCTGTGTCTGGCGTCGCCACGCGGCCTCGACCGTACTTCGTTCCACTCCTGCAGCAGGTTCTTGGTCTTCCACCTTCTACTGGTCCTCCTCCTCCCTTAGAGTATCCACAGCCTTTCCCGTCACAGTTACAGTTGCAGCCTACCTCCCCTTTGCCTGCTCCTTCTCCCTACACTGGTCCTACTGGAGGTCTTGCTAAGCGTCGTGAGCCTGCGTCTCGCCCTATGTCGCCTGTCCGTGCTGCTCGCGCTAGTAGTTGTGGTTCGCGTGAGCGTCCTCCTCCTTTCCCTGGCACGCACCGGATGTCTCTGCGTCCGTCCACAGCTCCTCAGCGTGCCCCTTTGCCTTCTCCTCCTGAGTCCTCTCTTCCTGCTCTTGCCGACCCGGAGTCGGACTCTCTTCGTGCTGCCAGTCCTACTGTCACGCGTCTCCTGGCTACTGAGGTCACTGACCCTTCTTTCGAGTCCACTGCTGCGTCTGCCATAGGTGCTGAGCTTGACGACTTTGCTGCTCGCTGTCGCCTAGACTACGCTGCTAGTCTTGTAGCTGAGTCTGAGTCTGTCTATCCTCCGTCCGTCGGGGGTGAGTGTGCCCTTGGCACGGACGTCCTTGAGGACAGGCAGGAGGAGTTCCAGTGTCTGGCAGCTGCTTCACCTCATCTCGTGTCCGTACTGCTTACCCCTGAGGGAGACCCGGATGCACTTGACATCCCGACTCCGCGCTCCTACGCGGAGGCGATAGAGGGTCCCTACTCCTCTGAGTGGCAGGCAGCTATGGATGCAGAGATGGCTTCCTGGAAGTCCACAGGTACCTACGTTGACGAGGTTCCCTTGTCTGGGGCGAACATCGTCAGTGGCATGTGGATCTTCAGAGTGAAGCGGCCGCCGGGTTCTCCGCCTATCTTCAAGGCACGTTACGTGGCTCGTGGCTTCAGACAGCGGCAGGGAGTTGACTACTTTCAGACCTTCTCTCCCACCCCGAAGATGACCACTCTTCGGGTACTGGTGCACGTTGCTGCTCACCGTGACTACGAGCCGCACTCTCTTGACTTTAGCACAGCTTTCTTGCAGGGCAGCCTGCACGAGGAGATCTGGCTGCGCCGCCCACCTGGCTTCACTGGGTCGTTCCCTCCTGGTACCTACTGGAGCCTCCGGCGTCCAGTTTACGGTCTCCGCCAGGCACCACGTGAGGGGCACGACACACTGAGGACTACGCTTGCGGCTCTTGGGTTTGCTCCTTCTACTGCCGACCCGTCGTTTTTTCTACGCACCGACACCTCTCTGCCGCCGTTCTACATCCTCGTGTACGTCGACGACTTGGTCTTTGCCATAGCTGACACTGCTGGACTCGCCTACGTGAAGTCCGAGCTGCAGAAGAGACACACGTGCACAGACCTGGGTGAACTGCGCAGCTACCTTGGCTTGCAGATCACCCGGGACAGAGCACGCCGCACCATTACCCTGACTCAGTCACACATGGTGCAGCAGGTCCTTCAGCGCTTCGGCTTCACGTACTCCTCGCCTCAGGCCACTCCTCTGCCTACTCGCCACTCGCTCTCAGCTCTGCCTTCGGATGAGTCTGTAGGGTCGAGTGGCCCGTATCCAGAGCTTGTTGGCTGCCTCATGTACCTGATGACCTACACACGACCTGACCTTGCATACCCTCTTAGCATTCTCGCACGCTATGTTGCTCCTGGGAGACACCGCCCAGAGCACATGGCTGCAGCGAAGAGGGTGTTGCGCTACTTGTGCAGTACGTCGGGCATGGGGCTTGTGCTTGGAGGGCGCAGTCCAGTGGTCCTCACTGGGCATGCATACGCTTCTTGGGCTGACGACCAGGCTACGCAGCGGTGTCACAAGGTTACACCTTCAGCCTTCGTTCCGGCTCTGTCTCGTGGCGGGCTACTCGCTCGTCTTCTGTTCTTGGCTCCAGTTTTGAGGCTGAGATCTACGCTGGGGCCATGACTGCATAGGAGGTTCGCTGGCTCACCTACGCTGACTGACCTCGAAGAGCCGCCTCGTTCTCCTCCGGTGCTGTACGTAGACAACAAGGTCATGTTGGCCTTGTGTCGAGAGCAGAGACTGGAGCACAGAACAAAGCACATTGCTCTTCGCTACTTCCTTGCTCGTGAGCTACAGCAGTATGGTCAGTTGCGGCTTGTGTACGTGGCCTCTGATGCCAACACTGCTGATATCTTCACCAAGGCACTTGCGCCTTGTGATCATCAGCGCTTCTGCACCCAGCTAGGTCTTGTACCTGTCTTGCCTCACTTGCTCACCTCTTGGCCTTGCTTGTACTGTTACATGTATATGTATCTGCTCTTGCTTGTCTACCCTTATATATATATGTACTCCTGCATGTGAACTGGCCTTGTGGCCTTGTACTTTTGCTCGGAATGTGTGGTGACTTTGTGATCCACCCTGAGCTTTGCTTGACTGGTCTTGTGACCCCCTGTTCTCCCCCACTTTGCCTATGGGGGTGTGTCAGAACATTATAGCTTATGCTTTTGTGTAGGCTGTAGTGGGGTATCCCATAGGGGGTACAACCCAATTAGGGTTGGTACTTGTACCCACTTCACTCATAGTTCATTCATTCTCATTCTCATTTTCTCAGCAGCTCCCTCAATTGTGAGTACATGGGTACCCAGATGCGGTTGGTGCCTGTCTTTACGTAATAAACTCCTTTAGCTTCTGCCAGTTGCTGTGAATTTCCGGTCGTGAAAAATGGGTCGGTACTGTATCTGTGAGTAAATAGGCCTGTTAACGGCGGGTTGGTTTGGGCGAGTAGGATGGCGTGGAGTTGGGCGGTGGGGCGTGTGAGTGCGTCGGCGATATTCGATGCGCCTTTTTGTACGTGACTGTGTAGTGGAAGTTGGACTCCAGATAATCCAACCAGCGGTCTGTCGTGGGTTGAGATTCAGTTGGGCGCGAATGTACTTTAGTGATCGGTGGTCTGTCCGTACTGTCACGTCTGCTCCCGTGAGGTAACATTGCCACACCTTGAATGTGTGCACGATCGCCAGCTGTCAGAACATATCTATAGCTTATACTGCTGTGTAGGCTGTAGTGGGGTATCCCATAGGGGGTACAACCCAGTTAGGGTTTCACATTTGTACTGCTTTCATTCATAGTCCATTCATTCCTGTTTTCCTACTATCACATGGTATCAGAGCGGGTCCTACCTTAGGACCGTTGTCTGGGCCCACCGACGCGCGCCCCGAGGCGCGCCCCTTTTTTTTAGCGACCCCTCGGGTCGCCTTTTTACTCGCGGCCCCGCCGCCTCCTCTGACGCGGCTTTGCCGCCTCCCCTGACGTGGCCCCGCCGCCTCCTTTAACGCGGGGGTGGTGGCGGGGCTAGTGGCGGGGGTGGTGGTGGTGGTGGCGGCAGCAGCGGCGGAGACGGTGGTGGTGGTGCCAGCGGTGGTGGTGGAGGCAGCGGCGGAGGTGGAGGCGGCGGAGGTGGAGGCAGTGGAGGCGGCAGCCGAGGAGGCAGTAGTGGTGTAGGAGGTGGAGCTGGTCGGGGTGGTACCCAGCAGCGTAGCGGCGGTGGTGGTGGCCAGCGCTCGCACCGGCAGCAGCAGCAGCGCTCGCGGGACATCCCTTCGCCTCATCAGCTTCGTGAGTGGTACGCTGGGCGTCAGAGGGGTGGGGGTACTGGTCCCTGCACCTACGTTCTTCGTTCCGGCGACCGCGCGGGTGAGCAGTGTGGGGGTGCCCACGCCACCCAGCGCTGCTTTGGCCGCCTGACGGACGCTTGGCGTCAGCAGTTCCCTGGGGCTAGTGAGATCCCTCGCTGGGATGAGCTTCTCAGGGCTGGTGTAGCGATCTTTGATCTTGATTTTGATGCTATCCTTACTGCTATGTATGTTGTGGATTATAGTGAGGAGAATGAGGGTTACCGGTGTTTTCAGCCCGACCCGGGCATTGGTACTGCTGCGCTAGGTGCTTGTGAGGCTGCTGCTCTAGGTGCCAGTGCGTCTGCGCTCTCAGGTACTGGTGAGACTGCGCTCTCAGGTACTGAGTCGTCCTCGTCCTCCCTCACTTTCACACTTGACTCCGGAGCTTCTCGCTCCTTCTTTCGAGACCGCACTACCCTTTCGCCGCTCGCCAGGCCGGTTGCGGTCTCCCTTGCTGACCCCTCTGGGGGTCCTGTCCTGTCTCACTTCTCCACTGTCCTCCCGTGTCCGGCTGCCCCTTCGGGCACCCTGTCGGGTCTGTACCTTCCCTCGTTCTCTACGAACTTGGTGAGTGGAGCGGACCTGCAGGATGGGGGTGTTCACCAGTTCACTCCTGCGCGTCAGAGGGTGACCCACTGCACGGAGGCTCGCACAGGCCGACACCTGGCCACGTTCTCACGTCGGCCGGGGTCGAGTCTCTACACCCTGACCGTTGAGTCTCCTCCTGTCCCTGCGTCTGGTCAGGTGGCTGCGTCGGGTCAGGTACTTGCTGCTGCGTCCCGGTCAGGTCCTGAGTCTGCCCCCTGTTCTTGTCGCCTCCTGTCTCACGAGACTCTCCTGTGGCACCACCGTCTTGGCCACCCCTCCTTGCCCCGTCTTCGGAGCATGGCTTCCCGTGTCCTTGTCTCTGGTCTTCCCCAGTCTCTCCCTCCTCTCCCCTCCGGGCCAGGACCTTCCTGTGTCCCCTGTGTCGAGGGTCGCCTCCGGGCTACTCCTCACTCCTCCCACTTCCCCCCGACAGAGGCTCCCCTGCAGACGCTTCACATGGATGTGTGGGGCCCAGCCCCCGTCCGTGGGCAGGGTTACGAGCGCTACTTCCTGTTGGTGGTTGACGACTACTCGCGTTACACCACAGTCCTCCCCTTGCGCAGCAAGGGTGCGGTCACTGAGGTGCTGATCGACTGGATCCGCGAGGCTCGTCTCCAGCTCAGGAAGAGCTTCGGCTCGGACTTTCCTGTTCTGCGTCTGCACTCTGACAGAGGCGGAGAGTTCTCTTCTCGCCTTCTGCGAGACTACTGTCGTGCACGGGGGATCCGCCAGACCTTCACGCTTCCGGACTCACCACAGCAAAATGGGATTGCTGAGCGCCGCATTGGCATGGTCATGGATGTCGCTCGTACGTCCATGATGCATGCGGCTGCCCCCCATTTTCTGTGGCCGTTTGCGGTGAGGTACGCGGCGCATCAGCTCAACCTTCACCCCCGGGTCTCTCGGCCAGCGATGTCCCCAGCCTTGCTGTGGACGGGGAAGGTTGGCGATGCGTCTGTGTTCCGTGTCTGGGGATCTCGGGCGTTTGTCCGCGACTTGTCTGCGGACAAGCTGTCCCCTCGTGCTGCTCCCTGTGTCTTCCTTGGCTTCCCCACTGACGCCCCAGGGTGGCAGTTTTACCACCCCTCCTCTCGTCGTGTTCTGTCCTCCCAGGACGTCACGTTCGACGAGTCAGTCCCCTTCTACCGTCTCTTCCCCTACCGCACTCCTTCCCTCCCCCCTCCCCCGGACTTCCTTGTGCCGGTTCCCCCCCCGGTAGACCCCCTCCCCCCTCAGGTTCCTGCCCCCTCAGGTGTGTCCCAGGTAGACGCCGTTGACCCGGTCGAGGTTACTGGTGACTCTGGTGCTGCTGCGGGTGCTGAGCCTGGGGGTGCTGACTCTGGGGGTGCTGTGCGCGGGGGTGCTGAGCCTGGGGGTGCTACTGCTGGGGGTGCTGGGCCTGAGGGTGCTACTGCGGAGGGTGCGGAGCCTGGGGGTGCTGAGCCGGGGGGTGCTGTGCCTGGAGGTGCTGGGTCTGGGGGTGCTGGGTCGGGAGCTGCTGAGCCTGGGGGTGCTGCGTCTGGAGCTGCTGAGCCTGGGGTTTCTCCTGCTGCTGCGTCTCGCCGGGAGCCCCTCTCTCCACAGGAGCTGCGCGAGTGGTTCGCTCGCCGCTGGAGGCGTGCTGCTGAGTCTGGAGGTGCTGCTGGAGCTGGAGCTGGAGCTTCTTCGACCGTCGAGGGTGCGGGTGCAGCCGGTCCCGGAGCTGCTGGCCCTGCAGGTCCTCCTGGAGCTGGAGCTGCTGAGGGCGTTCGTGCTGAGCCTGCTGCTGTTGGTCCTACCGCTGGAGGTGTGGGTGGCGCTGGTACTGTCGCTGAGGGTGCTGGTGCTGTCCCTGCTGAGTCTGGAGCTGCCGCGCGGCCTCGGCCGTACTTCGTTCCGCTCCTTCAGCAGGTTCTTGGTCTTTCTCCTCCAGTAGAGGGTCCACCGCCTGTCCAGTCGCAGCCCCTACTGGAGCCTTCCTCTCCGCTGCCTGCTCCCTCTCCTTACACTGGTCCTACTGGAGGTCTTGCTGAGCGTCGTGAGCCTGCGTCTCGTCCCGCGTCGCCTGTTCGTGCTGCTCGCGCTAGTGGTCGCAGTTCGCGTCAGCGTCCTCCTCCTGTCCCTGGCACGCACCGGATGTCTTTACGTCCGTCCACTGCTCCTCTGCGTGCCCCTTTGCCTTCTCCTCCTGAGTCCTCTCTTCCTGCGCTTGCCGACCCTGAGTCGGACTCTCTTCGTGCTGCCAGTCCCACTGTCACGCGTCTGCTTGCTACTGTCGTCACTGACCCCTCTTTTGAGTCCACTGCTGCGTCTGCTCTAGTCGCTGAGCTCGTCGACTTTGCTGCTCGCTGTCGTCTCGACTACGCTGCTAGTCTTGTTGCTGAGTCTGCGTCTGTCTGTCCTCCGTCCGTCGGGGGTGAGTGTGCCCTGAGCACGGACGTCCTAGAGGACAGGCAGGAGGAGTTACAGTGTCTAGCGGCTGCTTCACCTCATCTCGCGTCTGTACTGCTTGCCCCTGAGGGAGACCCGGATGCACTAGACATCCCGACTCCGCGTTCTTACGCGGAGGCCGTAGAGGGTCCCTACTCCTCTCAGTGGCAGGCAGCTATGGATGCAGAGATGGCTTCCTGGAAGTCCACAGGCACCTACGTTGACGCGGTTCCCCCTCCTGGGGCGAACATCGTCAGTGGCATGTGGATCTTCAGGGTGAAGCGGCCGCCGGGCTCTCCACCTGTCTTCAAGGCACGGTACGTTGCTCGTGGCTTCAGTCAGCGGCAGGGAGTTGACTACTTTCAGACCTTCTCTCCCACCCCGAAGATGACTACTCTTCGGGTGCTGCTGCACATAGCCGCTCAGCGCGACTACGAGCTTCACTCTCTCGACTTCAGCACTGCGTTCTTGCAGGGTAGCCTGCACGAGGAGATCTGGCTTCGCCGTCCACCTGGCTTCACTGGGACTTTCCCTCCTGGCACCCAGTGGAGCCTCCGACGGCCAGTCTACGGTCTCCGCCAGGCACCGCGTGAGTGGCACGACACACTGAGGACTACGCTTGCGGCTCTTGGGTTTGCTCCTTCTACTGCTGACCCGTCGCTGTTTCTTCGCACCGACACTTCCCTGCCGCCGTTCTACATCCTCGTGTACGTCGACGACCTGGTCTTTGCCACAGCGGACACTGCTGGACTCGCCTACGTGAAGTCCGAGCTGTTGAAGAGACACACGTGCACAGACCTGGGTGAACTGCGCAGCTACCTTGGCTTGCAGATCACTCGGGACAGAGCACGCCGCACCATTACCTTGACTCAGTCACACATGGTGCAGCAGGTCCTTCAGCGCTTCGGCTTCACGTACTCCTCGCCTCAGGCCACTCCTCTGCCTACTCGCCACTCACTCTCAGCTCTGCCTTCGGATGAGTCCGTAGAGTCGAGTGGTCCGTATGCGGAGCTTGTTGGCTGCCTCATGTACCTGATGACCTGCACACGACCTGACCTTGCATACCCTCTGAGCATTCTTGCACGCTATGTTGCTCCTGGGAGACACAGACCGGAGCACATGGCTGCAGCGAAGAGGGTATTGCGCTACCTGTGCAGTACGTCAGGCATGGGGCTAGTGCTTGGAGGGCGGAGTCCAGTGGTCCTTACCGGCCACGCGGACGCGTCTTGGGCTGACGACCAGGCTACGCAGCGGTCGTCACAGGGTTACACCTTCAGCCTTGGTTCCGGCTCTGTCTCGTGGCGGTCTACTCGCTCGTCTTCGGTTCTCGGCTCCAGTTGTGAGGCTGAGATCTACGCCGGGGCCATGGCTGCACAGGAGCTTCGCTGGCTCACCTACCTGCTGACTGACCTTGGAGAGCCGCCTCGTTCTCCTCCAGTGCTGTACGTAGACAACAAGGCTATGCTGGCCTTGTGTCGAGAGCAGCGCTTGGAGCACAGAACGAAGCACATTGCTCTCCGCTACTTCCTTGCTCGTGAGCTGCAGCAGCGTGGTCAGTTGCGACTTGCGTACGTGGCCTCTGAGGCCAACACTGCTGATGTGTTCACCAAGGCACTTGCGCCTTGTGACCATCAGCGCTTCTGCACCCAGCTGGGTCTTGTGCCTGTCTTGCCTCACTTGCTCTCCTCTTGACTTCACTTGTACTGTGACATATATCTATATACCTGCTCTTGCTTGTCTAGCTTTATATATATGTCTGTACTCTTGCTTGTGAACTGGCCTTTGGCCTCACTCTTGTGCTCGGACTGTGTGGTGACTTTGTGATCCACCCTGAGCTTTGCTTTGTCTTGCTTGACTGGTCTTGTGACCCCTTGTTCTCCCCCACTTTGCCTATGGGGGTGTGTCAGAACATATCTATAGCTTATACTGCTGTGTAGGCTGTAGTGGGGTATCCCATAGGGGGTACAACCCAGTTAGGGTTTCACATTTGTACTGCTTTCATTCATAGTCCATTCATTCCTGTTTTCCTACTATCACACCAGCATCTCGCGGTCGTGTATCGGGTAGTTGCGCTCGGGCGGGTGAAGCTTGCGGGACTCGTACGCGATTGGTTGGAGGCCGTTCCCGAAATCCTGCAACAGTAATGCTCCCACAGCGATGTCGGTAGCGTCGGTGACGAGCTCGAACGGACGGTGCGAATCCGCGATGTGAAGCACGGTCGGCGAGCACAAAATTTGTTCGAGGACCAAGAAGGCAGCTTGCTCTTTCTCCCCCCACGTGTACTCAACCCCCTTCCTCAGCAGGTCGGTCAATGGAGCAGTCAACTTCGCCATGTCGGGGACGAACTGTCGCACGTAGTTGACGAACCCCAAAAAGCTCTGCAGCTCAGTCAAATTTGTCGGAACATGCCACGCTTGAATCTTAGCAATATTTTTCGAGTCTATTTCCACTCCTTCCGCTGAAATAATGTGTCCCAAAAACTCCAGTCTGTCCTGTAGAAACTCTCACATATAGGCTTTTGTCAGTAGGCGGTTTGTCAGAGTATTATAGCTGATGCATGTTTGTAGGCTTTAGTGGGGTAGCACATATGGGGTACAGAGTTTCAAGGGTTGTATTTGTACCCAATCTTTCCTTAGTCATTCATTCCTGTTCGCTTATTCTCACATGGTATAGAGCGGGTCCTTCTACGGACCGTTTTTTTTTGGGCCCACCGAAGCGCCCCCCGAGGCGCGATTTTTTTTAGCGACCCCTTGGGTCGTCATTTTCCCTGCGGCCCCGCCGCTTTCACTGACGCGGCCCCGCCGCCCTCTCTGACGTGGCCCCGCCGCCGGCCCTTACGCGGCCCCGTCGCCGGCTCTCACGCGGCCCCGCAACAGGCTCTGTCGCGGCCCCGCCCCGGCCTTTACGCGGCCCCGCCGCCTGCTCTCACGCGGCCCCGCCCCGGCTCCTTCGCGGCCCCGCCGCCTGCTCTCGCGCGGCCCCGCCCCGGCTTCTACGCGGCCCCGCCCCGGCTTTCACGCGGCCCCGCCGACGGCTTTGTCGCGGCCCCGCCCAGGCCCTTACGCGGCCCCGCCACCTGCTCTCACGCGGCCCCGCCCCGGCTCCTTCGCGGCCC